AAAAAAAAAAAAAAAAAAAAAAAAACTGATACTATTTACCACAAACAAATGTGTGAAAGACTTATCTGGGTATTGTGCCCTTAACCAATGGAGAATTGTTCTCAGTTGACTGAATTTGACATGCCCCTGCTTATCACTTCATTGGGTATATGGCCTTAGCTGGAACACAGTTTTAGGGATTGTTCTTTCCAATTCTAGTAACTATGGAAATTTTAAACATCGTCTCCCTGAAAATCCTTTGGTATATATCGTTTCAAATATCTTGGTAGAACAAATAAAAGATAATAGAAATAAAATCTTCCTTCCAAATCTTATAAACCAAAGGAAAGGTGCTATTTCAAAAAAAAATTATGAGATATTTGATTAAATTTGACTTCCACTTTCTCACTCTTACGACATTCTTGTTTTAAACTAACGGGATCCTGCACGCTTTTTTCTTTGCTAGTCCTTTTGAAGAAAGAAAGAAGCACCCAAATCCGTGCACTAAGATCAAGGAAAAGCCATGGCGACATTGGATTCAGACGTGCCTATGGTTCCGGTAGGCGAGGCTTCAAGCAGTGCAGGTTCATCGACCAAGAAGCCCAAGCGATTTGAGATCAAGAAGTGGAATGCTGTTGCTCTCTGGGCCTGGGGTAAACCCTAACTCTGATTCCTTTGGGTTTAAAAGTTAATAAATTTGGTATTCCAACCATGTACTGATGTTGTTTTGGTCTGTTGTATGCAGATATTGTTGTTGATAACTGTGCCATTTGCAGGAACCATATCATGGATCTCTGTGAGTAATTTTTTTTAGTTTTTTAGTTGTTAATTTTTTTCTTGATTATTTGTTTACTTAGAAATTTTGTTGTTGGTGATGAGTAGGCATTGAGTGCCAAGCAAACCAGGCAAGCGCCACTAGCGAGGAGTGTACAGTTGCTTGGGGTATGCTTCAGCTTTCAGTTTATGCATAAACTAATATTTAAGTTTTTGTTCTGCTTGCTAGGCCCTTCATATTGATTCAGGATAGGAACTTGTATAGATCGAAAAGCTTACTTGCATTTGTAAGCTAGACCATTGTGGTTGTTTTTTCTTTCCCAATACGTTCTACGTAATGGGGAAAGGGAAGGATTTGGTGGATTACTACTTTTCACCTGAGGTCATGCTATATGTACACATGGTGATTATCAAATTACACATCTAATTCTCCTTGACATGTTTGGGGCTCAGTTAATGCTTTAAAAGTAGAGAAATAAAAGGACTCCTTGATAAAAAAATGGGGATTATTTTCCTATATAAAAAGTGGAGGTTCTTGAAGTTGTATTAACTAATCATCCTATTT